CACAGCCCTCTCCCCACACCGTAGCATGCCCTGGACCCCTTTCTCCTCCCCACACCCGGCTGATCCGCACCCCGCCATAAGGCACGGGCACTCCTAACCCTGCTCATGCCATAGGGCACACCATGCTCTCCCCGCACCCTAGCCACAGCCCCTCACCCAGCACAGTGTGGTGCCCACCAGGCTGACCCTCTCTCTCTGCTCTTTCTTTCCCTTCTGGCAGAGTTTAAAGCTGCGGGGTGTGGATCGCACCCCGTACCTGGGGGACGTGGCCGTGGTTGTGCATGCTGGGAAAAAAGAGACGGGGACGCCCCTGGCCGATACCCCCACAAGGCCCGCCACACGACACGGGGGTATGAGGGACCTCCACGAGTCCAGCTTCAGCCTCTCCGGTAAGAGGGTCCGGGCAGCCCCGGCTCCATGTCCAGCCCTGACCCAGGGCCTGCCCCCAGGGTGTCCTTCCCCTTTCCTGGGCCAGGAGCCATGCCATGCCCACGCTCCCATGGCAGAGTAGGGAGCTGACCCCATCCCTGGACCCGTTCCTCCATGCACCGTCCATCTCGTGGCTGCACCAGTGGGGCTCCAGCTGGGCACGGGGTGCCAGGCAGCAGGGTTGAGGTGCTGTCCAAACACACATGGCGGGTATCCCATGCTATGTGCCAGGCTGGACCAAGCCTCATGGCGTGTGAGGGCAGGAGCAGGGCGGGCTGCACCCTGAACTGCAGTGCTTGGCTCCTGTGGTGGCTGTGCTGGGGCTGGCAGCCTCTGACCATGCTTCCTGCCAGCATCCCACTCAGTGCTCTTGGCACAGGGCAGGATGTCAGGGCCTTGTGGGTTGTCAGCATTGGTCCTGGTGCTGCACGAGGCACTGGTGCTGCAGCACGTGGCACAGCCTAGGCAGGAGCAGGGCTGCAGGGGAGCCGGGGGATGCAGAGCACCCTTAGTCCCGTGGTGCTGGCATCCCTGACGCCTGTTCGTGCATCTGTCTGGCAGGTTCTCAGATCGATGACCACGTTCCAAAGCGAGCTTCGGCCCGGATTCTCGCTCCCCCCGGAGGCCGGTCGAGCGGCATTTGGTAGAGCCGAGGACCTGTCCCCCAACTGAGGACCAGGTGCCGGCCACAGACCCCCCGGCTCCGGCGGGGCTCCCCTCGCCCCGGGGGGCCGTGCCTGGCCCCCGTCCTGCCCGCAGGGCCGGGCTGTGCCGGCAGCCGTGTGCGGTGGGCTGGAGGCCGGGAGGCTGCAGCCCGGCCAGCGGGAGGGGACGGGGGCAGCGAGTGAGCCCCCCCGGCCCTTTTCTGTTTGCACGTTGGGTTTGGATCAGTGAATTTTTGACTTGTTTGTGCATCACGTGGAAATACTCTGAAGTGGTTTGTGTCACTAGCATTAGGGGAGAAGCAGGGACACCCCCACCCCCCCTCCAACCCCTGGGCTGACCCCCTCCATCCCCACACCCCTTCCAGCCCCACGCGTGAGCCTGCACAAGTGTGATACTGCAGCCCATGGGCACACAAATGTGCACACCTGTGCATCCCTCCATGCAGAGGTGTTAGCACACTCCTCACAGCCATGTGTGTGTGTGTGTACACGTGTGTCACCCGTGTACGGACTGAGATGCTCACAGCACACATGCACATGTGTGTGCATTCCTCCATGTGAAGCACCAGCAGGCTCCTCACCACCTGTGTGTGTGCACACGTGTGTCATGCTATGCACGGTCTCAGACATACACATAGCTCTGTGCGTGTTCTCAGTGCCCTGTTCATTGCACACACATGTGATCTCCTTGGCAGGTGTCCACATGCACACACATCCCTCCGTGCTGGGAGCCATGTGGGATGTGAAATATTCCCCATGTCCTGTTCCCCTCCTCGGTGGGTCCCTGTCGGGGGGGGGCGGGCAGGCACAGGCAGTGTGGGGGTCCTGTTCCCCCCTAGGTAGTCAATATTGGCCGTTTTAGGAACCCGCGGTACGTCTCTGTTTGCTCATTAAAGACCGTTCACAGCACCTGGCCTCCGTGCCTGCCTGGGGGGTCCTGGTGGGGATATGGCACGTGATGAACCCCTATCTCCCTGCTTCCCAGTGCGCCTGCACTCTGACATCGCTGGGGTCCAGGATCATCTCCATGTTCTCCCTGGATGCCCACCCATCAGACCCCACCACTGGGGAAGAGGCCCCGGGCTGGGCCACATGGCAGCACTGGGTCCAACACGTGGCCACCAGACCTGGTACCCACCACTGCAGCAAGTGGTGCCCAGGAGAGTGCTGAGAGCATCCCTGGGATGTGGGACACAGGGGGGTGTGAGTGACACAGGGACACGGACAGGCAGACATGGCCATTCAGCCAACAATATCAACATCGCTGTGGGCAGCCATGTTAGTCACGCACCTCCACATCAGGAGGGTGAGGACACACACATGCACACACATGCACATCCACGCACATATATGTACACATGCTGCATGCTTGCACAAGTGCACAGAAAGGTGCAGGGGGGCTGCAGGGTAGGGATGGGGTGCAGGGGAGGGTTTGGAGGTCAGTGAGGTGGGGATGGGTTGCAGCCGGCGCTGGGTGTCTGGGGGGATGCCTGGAGTCTGGGGGGAGCTTTGGGGAGCTCTGGGGGTCCCCAAGCTACACGGGGGGCAAATGTCCCAGAAGACTGTGGGGCTCCAGGAGGCCCCAGAGTAGGCAAGGAGGGACACCGGGAGTGTGCGGTGGGGTCCCGGTGGGATCCCGGCTCCGGGGGTGCTACTGGAGATTCCAGCAGGTCTCAGGGGATTCCTGGCGTCCCGGCAGTGAGGAGGCCGTCGCCGCTCGCCCCCAGGGGGCGCTGTGCGAGAGGCAGAGCCGGGGCCAGAGTTGCCAGGGCGACGGGAGGGGGCGGGCCACTTCCCGTTGCCATGGGGACGGAAGGCGGAGCGCAGCAGGGCCGGCCCCGCCTGCAGGGAGGGAGGGAAGGGTTGAGGCGGCTGCGGTGGCGCATGCGCGGTCGGCCCGAGCGGTCCCGGCCCGGTCTCGGCGAGCCCGGCGCGGAGCGGAGGCGGCGGAGCGGCGGCCGGAGCGGCCGCTGCCCGAGCGCGGTGAGTGCGGGCGCGGAGGGACCGGGAGGGACCGGGTCGCTCCTCGCCGGGCCGCCGCCATCTCCCGCATCCCGGCACCGGCTAGCGCCGCCCCCCGGGGCCGGGCGGAGGGGCCGCTGAGGCCTCCATGGATGGAGCGGTAGGGAGGGGGTGTCCGTCCGGTGCCCCCGGGGATGGAGCGGCCTTGAACGGGGTGGGGGTAGCCGGGGATAGAGCGAATGGGGCCGGGGCTGGAGATGCGAGGCCGCGGCCCGGGGTCCGCCGTGCTGGTGGCGGCGGGGTCCGGCCTGACTCAGCGGCGGCCGCAGGGCCGTGGCCCCGGTACGGTACGGCACGGCACGGCACGGTACGGTATGGTATGGCACGCCGGGAGCTGTAGTCCCGGCGCGGGCGCCACCCCCCGTTACCGGGCATCACCTGGGAGAGCCCCGGGTCCCGCGGTGCCCCCGTTACAGGGTTTTGCCTGGTCAGGCAGGGCCGGTGCTGCCTGCCCGGTGCCATGGGCAGCAGGTGCCATTGCCGGTACCAGATGAGCAGGCAGAGCCGGTGCAGGACTGTCTCGGCCAGAGTGGTACAGGCTGACGGGTGGCTGTCACGGTGACCTGCCAAAGCGTGATGCGCTCTTGTCCCTTGTTCTTATGGCAGCACAGTGGTGGTGGCCTTGGCATGGTGGCTGTAGCCTCAGAGCCTTTGGCGGCAGGACAGCATCGCAAGCTTCAAATGGTGCCTTCTCTGGCACGTGTTGAGTGGGGTGATGATGCCCTTCCCGGTGCTCCCTGTGCTGTTTCTTGCCAATGAGCTTCATGCCATACAGGGAAGAGCAGGTCCCTGAAGCCATGGTGCAGAGGCACAATCCCAACTCCCCAGTGCCACCCCGAGACACCCCACTGTGACTGTCACTGGGCTGGGGCATTGCATGCCACTGTGGCATGTCCCCACCATCACCCAGGTGTGGGGACGTGGTGGGGGACAGCACACCCATGGCATGCCAGTGCATCTGGGGCACGTGGGGCATCTCCAGGGGCTGCCACGGCATAGGACTGCTGGCACGGGTGTCCCCTGCCCCATTGTGGGGTGCTGGCAAGTGGCTCTCCCTGCACCAGCTCCAACAACCCGCCTGGTTTGAACCATCAGGAGGCACTCGGCATTAATATTTCAGGGATGCTGCGCAGGATAAGGATGCCGGCGAAGGGGGAGCAGGCGCGGTGGGAGGCGCTGCTGGCAGCTCTGCGCTCTGCACATGCTCCTGCCACTGCTATTTTGAGTTATTTAGGTTAGCAAGAGAGGAGCAGGGGGGGACCAGCGAGGCCAGGGCACCTTGCCTGTGTCCACCGTGTCCCCCTCAGCTGGGCACCGTGGCTGTGCTGAGCAGCACTGATGGGAGCCATGACCTCCCAGCATGAGAGCAGTTGCCTTCCCTCACTACAGGCTGCTGTAGACTTAGGGAACTGGGAAAGGCACTGGAGGATGGACTTGACAAGGAGCTGGACACTGCCTGCACTCAGGCAAACCCATCTGCCACACACAGGCTCCAGCATGGCACAGGGATGCTCTCGTTGGGGTAGGGGGAAGCGGCACTGGGGGAGAATGTCTGCCATGATCAGAGAGCCGGGGCAAATGGACACCCGTGTCAGCACCCACAGAACCCTTCCCACTGCCTGCCAGCTGCCGGATCAGCTGGGCAGCCCCTCAGCGGCTCCATATGGCACACAGCCTCCACTGGGTTGTCTGCCACCCCCCTCCCGTATTTGTCACTTGAGGAGCCACCGGGACAGCTCCCAAAATAGAAGCTGCGAGTCACAGCAGCCCAGCTCGCCCCAGTACGGCGGTTGCTGCCAGGCTGGCTCCCAGGCAGCCAGTGCTAGCACCAAACGTGTCCGGCACAGCCACCGGCCTCATTCTCCTCCCGCTTTGTTTGGCCAGAGCACGCCAGCCCCCGGCCCGGCGAGGGCTGCGGCGTGGGACGCTGGTGCCTGCCGCCGCCTCCCTGGCAGCGTTGGCACAAGGAGCTGGGCTGGACGACCTCTCCGCGCCCCGGCTGCACCAGCAGGACGGGGGCAGCAACACACGCCCAAGTGTTTTGTTCGCCATTGGGCCTTGATTAGGAGCTCTGCGGCCGGACAATTAAAATGCAGCGGTAAGCGTCCCCCCGGCCCCGTCAGTGTGGCTGCAGGCAGCATGGGGCGGGGGGGGCTGCTGTGCACGGCGACCTGAACCCCGCATCTCCCTGCACCGCTGCTGCCCGCAACCTGCCTTCACAGCAGCATCAAGGGCAGGCAGCAGGAGCTGTGCTGTGAGACTAGCCGCTCACTGCTCCCTGGTGACCCGGTGCCAGAACAGTTTCTCTCCCAACAGCTTGGCAGGAATCGGGTCTACATTCTTATCTTAGTTATTCGTTTATCCAAATGGTAGCAGTGAAGACAGGGTGCAAACCGGCCAGGCTGGAGGCTCCCTGCCTTAGGTGTGTCCATCACCTGGCGTCAGGGCTGGGCAGCAGGGCTGGCTCCTGCCCTGGCCGCAGGGCTGGAGCAAGTGTTGGCTTCCCTGTCATTATGCCCGGGTGTGCTCAGCACTGCGGTTGGAGGGCTTTGAAGGCCAATGTGGTGTTTCAGAGGGTGGAAATGAGCTGGGTGGCTCCACGCACCTCAGAAAGCGTCAACGCCAGCTGCGTGGGGATGGACAGGCAGCGCTGTGTGCCAGAGCAGGATCAGAGTTCTCCCTGCCGGGCTCGCACATGTGGTGGCGTGTGCAGGAGTCGGGGTGCGGCTGGTGGCGGCATGCTGGGGAGCACCCGGCACTGTGATGCCTGGATTCATCCTGCTGTGAAATCCACCCCTGCGGCTGCCGGCACGGGCCTTGGCTTGTTGTGGCAAAGGGAAATCTGTGGGTTCTCTGAGGTGCCAGTGATGGGAAGAGTGGTAGGAATGCTGGGGGGAGAGGGGTGAACAACCCCTCAGCCCCTGTGTTCAGTACTGGGGCAAGGTCATGAAGAAGGTGCTGGGCTCAGCCCTCATTTGGGAAGGTTCTGATGAGGCTGGAGGGCTGGTTTGAGGGGTTAACTCATCCCAGCACAGGTGGTGGGTGCTGGGTGAGGGGTGCTGTCAAGTGTGGTGGCTTCCTGTGCCAGGATGGCTCCTGCTGGGGCTATTTGCCTGAGCCACAGTGAGCCCCAGTGTGTTTCCGCATCCCCTCTGCTTCTCAAGGGTCTGCTTCTCAAGGTGCACCAGCTACCCCTGTGTCCCCATGCTGTCCCCAAACCGGGCTCTTCTGGAGCTGGCAGGCGTGGAGCAAGGCTGCCCACCGGGGCTGGGTGCTCTGGGGCATGGCCACAGCACACAACATGTGCCCCATCCATGTTGTATGTCCCACAGCCAAGTGCTGGGGGAGGCAGGAGTGTCACGGGCTGCCGTGTGGGGTGTGGGCACTGTGAATCCCCCCAGGTCAAGCAGGCAAGACCTGGCCCTGTGGCTCATGGTGGTGGCCAGCTCCGGCATCAGCCCTGCTCTGTCTCTGCTGTGCGCACAGGGCGCTGGCAGCTGCTCCCGGCTATTTCGGGAAAGGGTGGTGGTGTGGGGGTGTCATCCGGCCACTGGCTCCTCCCCGGGGTGCGCACGGAGCCCCCCACCTGCCGACCCCCTCCCTGCGCCAGCAGTGGCAAACGCCGCTGCTCTCCTGGCTGCGCCGTGGCGGCCGCACCGCAGTGCGCGTGGCTCTGGCTCCGCGCTGCGCATGACTCAGCTCGGCGCTGCCAGAGGGAGGGGACCCCTGCCCGCACCCCGCGGCATGAGGCTGTTTGGGTGGGTGGCTTTGGTCTTCACCGGCTGCCTGAGAGGGGGACGGTGCTCGTCCCACTATGCTGGGGGTTTGGCAGCTAGTGACCACTGCAGGGGCCTCATTTACAGCTGCTCCTGTGGCTAAAAATACCGGCAGCCCGGCTGCATGCCGGTGGCAGGGCCCTGCAGAGGGCAGGATGGATGTGGGGTGCTGGGTTGTCCTGGACCCAGTGGGGGGATGAGCCAGCTCAGCTGCCAGTGATGGTTCAATCGACCACAGTGTGTGGCTGTGCTAGGGCCAGCATCACCGGTGCTGAGTCATGGCAGTGCTGAGGTTGCGAGTTTGGGGGCTGCAGCCGCTGGAACCTTCCCTCCTTCACAATGGGCACCCAAGGAGGTGGCAGCACCTCACGGGCACGCCACTACTGCACCCACTGCCCTTGTCTGCTGGGGGACAGGGGTCCTGCATCAGGGGATCCCCCACTTGCCGACCCCACATGATCCCCTAGGCTGTGGGAGCAGGAGAGTAGGCCAGGGGGTGAAAGGGGGCTTGCTCCCCCTCCAGAGCCCCCATCTGGCATCTGGGCCTGAGCTCCCCTGGCCAGGGCAAGGGGAAGCGGATTAATGCTGCTGCTGCTGCTGCTGCCGCTGCTGCTGCTGCACGGGGAGGGGGAGGGGTGGGAGGCAGGGAGGAGGGGCAGTGGCTGCAGCGGTGGGGACCCCACCCTCGGGGAGGGGGCAGTGGGGTGGGGGGGACAGTCCCCACACTAAAGCATTTGGCAGGAACCAGCAGGATGGTGTCTTGGCATGTGTGTGTACCCCAGCTCTGAGGCATGGCTCCCCAGCACTCTGCCGTGCTGGGGCTGTGGACATGGGGTCTGTGCTCCCGTGGTGGCTGGGCAGAGCCCTCTGCCATCTGGGGGCAGGTTTGCCAGCAGATGTTGCTCCTCTAAGCCCAGCACTGGTGGACCCCAATCCCAGCCCCAGCAGATTAGGCAGCCACCAGGAGCTGGAGGGGGGCAGAGGGGGTCTAAGCTGCTTATGAACCAGCACCAGCCCCCAAGAGCCCCATGGGCATGCACAGGGACAGAGCTGTGCCCCAGCACGGGGCAGTGCCTACAGCAGTGCCTGCGTCCCCCTGAAACACCTTGCTCGTCATGTCGTGTACCACATCTGTGTCCTATGGTGCATGCTGCTGGGTGATCCGGCTCCCCTGGTGCAGGCAGGGGTGGGGGGGTCCCATGGGTGGCACCATGGCAGCCTGGTCCCATTGTCCACCAGTGCTGGAGCCTGGGTGAGATGGGTGCCCTGGATCCAAGCATGGAGGAAGGCTGGGCTGGTGGTGCACCAGGGTGCTGGCACTGGTCTGACACTTGTCCCTCTGCAGCTGGGGCATGGCCGTCAATGTGTACTCCACATCGGTGACCAGTGAGAACCTGAGCCGCCATGACATGCTCGCCTGGGTCAACGACTCCCTCCAGCTCAACTACACCAAGATCGAGCAGCTCTGCTCAGGTAGGGTGTGGGTCCTGCAGGGGGGGGGGACGGGGATGGACCTGGAGTGAATGGTGGTGGGGTGCCACCAGCCCACACTGACATCGTGATATGGGCCCGGCACAGGGGCTGCATACTGCCAGTTCATGGACATGCTGTTCCCCGGCTGTGTCCACCTGCGGAAGGTGAAGTTCCAAGCCAAGCTGGAGCACGAGTACATTCACAACTTCAAGGTGCTGCAAGCCGCCTTCAAGAAGATGGGAGTGGACAAGGTATGGTCCTGGGGGCTGAGGGAGGCCACGGTGGCTGTGCTGGAGGGCAGCCCCACCAGCCCCTCTGTGTCTGTCCCCCCAGATCATCGCTGTGGAGAGGCTGGTGAAGGGCAAGTTCCAGGACAACTTCGAGTTCATCCAGTGGTTTAAGAAGTTCTTTGACGCCAACTATGACGGGAAGGAGTACAACCCGCTGCTGGCGCGGCAGGGCCAGGACGTCGCGCCCCCCCCAAACCCAGGTGATCACATCTTCAACAAACCCAAGAAACCCATTGGCACTGCAGGTAATGTCTGGGTCCCCCCGGCGAGCCCTGCCCCCTGCCCTCCCGCCCAGCCTCCTGCACCTCACGTGGCTCCAGCCACGGCTGAGTGTTCCCCCGCTCTGTGCCCCCCAGCCCCTGCCTGCGTCCTGCTCTGCTGCCTGTCTGCCTGCGACCGGGGAGGGTGCAGCGGGTCTGCAGGGACACCTGGGGCAGAGGGGATGGCATGCCCTATGGCGTGCTCCATGGAGGGACCTGGGCAGGGGTCCACTGGCTCCGTCTTTCCACTCATAATGGGCCTGGGGGTGGTTTATGTTCCCTGTGCTATGGTGCCCAAGTGCCACTGTGCACCATGGGTCCCATGGGCTTCCTGTGCCAGCCCTACAGGAGCATCTCAAGGGTTGGCTCCCCCATCCATCCCATGGCAAACCCCAGCCAAGCCACAAGCACTCCAATGGGGTGAGATCTGCCAGGGGAAACTGAGGCAGGGAGGAGGCTGAACACAGGACAGCCTGGAGTTGCAGCACAGCCCCAAGCACTCTGCCTGCTCTTGCTGCCTGCTGCTGCTTCCTGGCCCCCAGCCACCCCACTGGCAGCCCCCCCAGGCTGGCACTAACCTGTTGGTCCCTGTGTGCTGTCAAGTCCCCCAGAGGACCTCTCCCACCGGTCCCAAGAACTCCCCGAACCCAGCCCGCCTCAGCAACGTTCCCAGCAACATCCTCCGGAAAAACTCCCCTGCAGCGCGCAATGGGGGCAGCGAAGCCGACGCGCAGATACTGGAGCTCAACCAGCAGGTAGGCAGGGTCCCTGCCTGCACTCCTGCCTGTGCATGGGGGCATCCCAGTGTGGGAGAGAGGGAATGGTGCTGAGCCCCCATGTCAGCAGTGCTGAAGATTCCATCTCTCTCCCTCCTCACAGCTGATGGACCTGAAGCTGACAGTGGACGGGCTGGAGAAGGAGCGGGATTTCTACTTCAGCAAACTGCGGGACATTGAGCTAATTTGCCAGGAGCATGAGAACGAGAACAGCCCCATCATCACTGGCATCGTCAGCGTCCTCTACGCCACAGAGGTGAGGGCCAGGACCCCCAGCCCCTCACCCTGTCCCCTGGGCTTCCTCAGGATGAGACCACCTTCCTTGTAGTGATCTCAGCCTCTCCCCTTGTTCACTCTCTGGGGTTCTGGGGGGGGGGGGGGTTGGGCTTTGCCAAAGTTATCCCCATGCTTATGGTCACCTGTGCCCCACCAGGAGGGCTTTGCCCCGCCAGAGGATGACGAGCTGGAGGAGCAGCAGCCAGAGGAGCAGGATGAGTACTAAACCTGGCACGCTCCTGCGCTGCCCCGCGCCGTTCCCCCACCATAGACATTTGAGGTCTGAGCCTGTGCGCCTCGCCCTGCACTGTCACATGCCACCATCACAGTCTCCGGCAGCTGAGTCCGCAACCTTGGCATCCAGCAGCTCCGGTGGGAAGCCACTGTCTCCATAATAAATAGATGTCCACCCAGCACGGAGCACGGCTGTACCTACGCCGGGGGCTGAGGTGGGGACAGGCTCTGGCTGATCCTCGCTATCCCCTGCCCCATATTTATTTCCGTTGTCTCCTCCAGTGCGGGTGCTGCAGCCACCCCGTTGTCCCCACCTGCCCCCTGCGTGAAGCCAGAAGGAAGGAGCGAGTCCTCGGGGTGTTTTCTCCCCAGAGAGGAGCGTGTGCTGCCTGCGCTCTGCCAGCCTGGGGATGATGGGGTCAGAGACAGTGCCCCTGGGACCACTGCACGGGGTGGGGCTGATGCAGGGAGGACAGAGCTCGGAGGAGGGAGGTGTTGCTTCAGGTTCCTGGCACGATGGAAAAGACACCCCTGACATGGCCACCTGCCTGCTGGTGGCAGTGAGGGGGGGATCCTGGCCCCCACATCAGGACAGGGGGTCATGAGTGGAAGCCGGTTTCCTCTGTGGCATGGGGGTCCCCTCGCTCCCTGAGACCTCCCCGGGTCAGGCTGTGAGTGGCAGCAGTGCCTGCCCTGGCCGTCGTCATCTCCCCATTGCATCGCTTGTCTGGTCCATCACTCCGGTTGCAAAAGCCTGCATCTGTGTTAAGTTTTATTTAAAATAAAGTTGTGTGGTAAAACCTTTGTCCTCCCTGAATTGGGCACTGCGGGAAGGCTCGGGGCTGGGAGGAGCGCGGGTGGCTCTAGCTCCGGGGAGAGGGAACCGGGGAGCACCTGATCGCGGAGAGCCGGGCTTGCGTTTTAGTCCCGTTGCCGAGACAGTAAATGATAGAGACAGCCCGGCCTACGCTGCGTTCTCCGTCATGGAGGTCGGGGAACGCTACCCGGACGCTATTTCCCCCACTACGCTTCCTTTTCTAGCTCCTGTCTGCTTTTGGACCACGTAAAGCCAGGGGAGAGCGCGAACGCAGTCCCCCACTACCACAAATTATGCAGTCGAGTTTCCCGCATTTGGGGAAATCGCAGGGGTCAGCACACCCGGAGTGCAAGGGATGAGCCTCGCCCTGGGAAAACCACCTGCTTGATCATGGTGTCTCCCCTGCCAGGTAAGTATGACTGCCCTTCGCGCACCCACCGCCGCACGCCGCACAACACACACACACCTCACGGACACCGCACGCCGCGCTACCGGAACGCGCCCTGCTCCATTCCACACTCCACCGCTGCCATCGCGCCCTCGCTCAAAGCCCTCGCACGCCCGAGCCCAGGGGATGATTTTGTGTCGCGGCTGTCCCGTGATGCCTCGCGGTGCTCGTTTGCATGGACACGCCCCCTGCCCGCAGGCCCCGCCCGGAACGCGTGTAGGGGGTCCGCCGCCGGCATGGCCCGGCCCCGCGGCAGCGCCATCTAGCGGAGCTGCGGAGCTCAGCCCCGGCAGCCAGCGGAGGCTCCGCCCACCCGCGCACGCCGCGTTGTGAGTGCCGTGACACGGCTCGGGGGTCGGCAGCACGGAGTCCGGCGGTACTGGGCATGGCGGGCCCGGCAGAGCTCGGGCCCAGCAAAGGGCGCAGCCGGGCCGGTGACTGGGGGCTGTGCAGCTGTCCCGACCCCGGATCAAAGCCAAGCTAGGAGAAGCCCCGCGGGAGGGTCGGCTCCTCGCTGTGTGCGTGGGGACAGACGGACACCGGGCGCCCCGCTGCCGGGGGTGGCGGGATCGTGCACGGCCAGGGACGAAATGGGCGAAGCCGCAGTGGCAGCGCCCGGGGAGGAGCCTGGGCGGCGGCTCGTGGCGGCACGGATCGGACACTGCGGGACGGGACCGGGCAGCCCGAGGTTCCCGACGTGGAGAGGCCGGGGGGGGGGGGGGGGTCCTTCCTTCTCTTCCCCTTTTCCCTCCGTTCTCCCGAGCTGTGAATGGTTCGGGCCACGGAGGGGAGGCAGGGGCTCTGCAGATCAGAGACTGAGCCGTCCTGAGCGGAGCCTGGCGCTGGCGGGCGTGGTGCGGGGCGCGTTCAGGTAGCGCGGCGTGCGGTGTCCGTGAGGTGTGTGTGTGTTGTGCGGCGTGCGGCGGTGGGTGCGCGAAGGGCAGTCATACTTACCTGGCAGGGGAGACACCATGATCAAGCAGGTGGTTTTCCCAGGGCGAGGCTCATCCCTTGCACTCCGGGTGTGCTGACCCCTGCGATTTCCCCAAATGCGGGAAACTCGACTGCATAATTTGTGGTAGTGGGGGACTGCGTTCGCGCTCTCCCCTGATGTAACTGGGGCAAAGACAGAGCTGGGGGGGTGTTTACGTGTACTCAGGGATATGTATTCCCCCACACGACTTCTTTTTCTCTAACTTGGGTAGGTATAAATCTGGTTGGTGGGCCACCCGGTGGATGCAGTGGTCATAGTTGAGGTCAAAGGCTCACTGTGCAAGTGGAGCCCAGTGACCAGTGGTGTCCTTAGGGGTCAAGGTGGGGACTGATTCCTGTCAGCGACATGGACAGTGGGTTTGAGTGCACCCTCTTCAAGTTTGCTGGTGACACTAACCTGTGTGGTTCGGTTGATACGCTGGAGGGAAGGAATGCCATCCAGAGGGACCTTGACAAGCTTGTGAGGTGGGCTGATGCCAACCTCGTGAAGTTTAACCATGACAAGTGCAAGGTCCTACACCTGGGTGGGAGCAATCCCAGGCACAGCTACAGGTTGGGCAGAGAAGAGATTCAGAGCAGCCCTGAGGAGAAGGACTCAGGGGTGTTGGTCGATGAGAAAATGAACATGAGCCAGCTTCAGTGTGCGTTCACAGCCCAGAAAGCCAACCGTATCCTGGGCTGCATCAAAAGGAGCGTGACCAGCAGGTCAAAGGAGGTGATCCTGCCTCTCTACTCTGCTCTTGTGAAACCTCACTTGGAGTATTGTGTGCAGTTCTGGTGTCTTCAACATAAAAAGGACATGGAAGTGTTGGAACAAGTCCAGAGGAGGCCACGAGGATGATCAGGGGACTGGAGCACCTCCTGTATGAAGACAGGCTGAGAAAGTTGGGGCTGTTCAGCCTGGAGAAGAGAAGGCTGTGTGGAGACCTCATAGCAGCCTTCCAGTACCTGAAGGGGGTCTACAAGTATACCAGGGTGTGGCAACTGAGGCACACACCCCAGTTGTGGTACAAACAAAATCATTTATTGGGTGAGCTTACAGGTTTCTTATAGACCCCTGCCTAGTGCTTAGTAATTATTAGCATCTGTTAGTTTCTTTTAAGTACCTTTTGCAGCATCATATGCTTTTCTCAACCAGTCACATTATTGTTCACATGCCTTTGCTTGAACAACTTATTTGTTCTCAGATGTATAAGCACATTTCTCTGTTACCACTTTTTGCTACATTATTACTTTCCATTTTCCCTTAAACACACATGCTTTTGTCCCTTCAGTCCACATTGGAGACTTTCATTAGCTCCTGGGAAAGTCCCAGGTACAACATTGATGGCTTGACTTTGCGAACAAAGATTTGGGAAGGGCTTTACCCATGCTTACTACAAGCGCACTGATGACTAAAAAGGCTAATGTGGGACAGGCAAATCCGGTTGGAAATAGCACAGCTAAAGGTCTCCTTGGGTGGTATAGGCAAGGCATGATTCTTTCTACATTGTCTTTTCTCCTCGAGACTAATTCTGCGTGTGTTCTCAAAGGAGACAACAGCGTTATGTATGGTGTGTCTCCAAGTCTCCCGATTGGAGGCCAAGGTGGACCACTGATGGTAGTCCATATGGCCAAGGCTGAGGTATTGCTTCAGGGAGTCCTTATATCTCCTCTTTGGAGCACTTCTCTTGTGGGAGCCGGCGGCAAATTCACCGTAAAACACAGTCTTAGGAAGGCAGTGATCCTCCACCCTGAGACGTGCCCTGCCCAGCACAGCTGCGATTTCAGCAATATGGCCTCAATCCTGGTGACCCCTGCCTGCTCGAGGACAGTAACATTTGACACACAGTCAGTCCAATGGATGTTTAGAATTGTACAGAGGTAGGCTGATGGAAGCATTGGAAGAGTCGCAGGTGATGGCGGTAGATAAGCCATGATTCAGACCCATATAAAAGAGTAGACAGTACAATGACTCTATAGACACTGATCTTTGTACTTTTCTTCAGGTGTTTATTGCACCAGACTCTTTTATGGAGTTTTCGGAAGGCTCTGTATGCCTTTGCTATTCTGTTATCTCTTTGTTGATCATGGCATCCGAGGAAATAATGCTTCCCAGATAGCTGAACTGCTGAACTGATTTAAGCTCTGACTTGCCAATAGTAATGTGGGGATGATGGTAATCTTCTTGTGCTGCAGGTTGGTAGGGAACTACTGTCTTCTTCAAGCTGACTTCCTGCCTGAAAAGCTCAGCTGCCTCCGCAAAGGAAGATGTTAAGCGCTGCAGAGCTGCTTCTGTGTGGGCAACAAGGGCAGCAGCATCAGTAAAAAGCAGTTCATGGACAAGGTGATTTAGGGTCTTAGTGTGGGCCTTCAGTCACCTTAGATTGAATAGGCTCCCATCAGTACGGTATCAAATATAAATGCTGTTTTGTTCATCAAGCTCTACCGTAGCCCTTTGGAGCATCATGCTGAAGAAGACTGCAAGTAAAGTTGGTGCGAGAACACAACCTTGTTTCACACCATTGGTTATTGGAAAGGGCTCAGAGAGTGCATTGCCATCTCTGACTGGGCCGTGCTGATCTTCATGTAACAGAATAATCATTCTGAGGAACTTGGGGGAACAACCTAATCGCTCCAAGATCAGCCACAGGCCTTTTCTGCTTACAGTGTCAAAAGATTTGGTGAGGTCAACGAAAGTTGCATAGAGCCCCTTATTCTGTTCTCTACACTTCTCTTGCAGTTGTCTGAGAACAAACACCATGTCTGTGGTACTTCTGTTAGCTCTGGAATCATGTTGACTTTCAGGTAGAAGTTCTGCAATAGATTTGGAGGGAAGGAATGCCATCCAGAGGGACCTTGACATGCTTGTAAAGCGGGCTGATGTCAACCTCATGAAGTTTAACCATGACAAGTGAAAGGTCCTACACCTGGGTTGGAGCAATCCCAGGCACAGCTACAGGTTGGGCAGAGAAGAGATTCAGAGCAGCCCTGCGGACAAGGACTTGGGGGTGTTGGTTGATGAGAAAATGAACATGAGCCGGCTTCAGTGTGCGCTCCCAGCCCAGAAAGCCAACCGTATCCTGGGCTGCATCAAAAGGAGCGTGACCAGCAGGTTGAAGGAGGTGATCCTGCCCCTCTACTCTGCTCTCATGAGACCTCACCTGGAGTATTGTGTGCAGTTCTGGTGTCCTCAGCATAAAAAGGACATGGAACTGTTGGAACAAGTCCAGAGGAGGGCCACGAGGATGATCAGGGGACTGGAGCACCTCCTGTATGAAGACAGGCTGAGGAAGTTGGGGCTGTTCAGCCTGGAGAAGAGAAGGCTGCGTGGAGACCTCATAGCAGCCTTCCAGTATCTGAAGGGGGCCTACTAGGATGCTGGAGAGGGACTCCTCCCTAGGGGCTGTAGTGATAGGACAAGAGGTAACACGTTAAAACTTAAACAGGGGAAGTTTAAACTGGATATAAGGAAGAAGTTCTTTACTGTAAGGGTGGTGAGGCACTGGAATGGGTTGCCCAGGGAAGTTGTGAATGCTCCATCCCTGATGGTGTTCAAGGCCAGGT